ATCCTGCTGCTACACTGTGTGTGTGGGTCTTATACTGCTGCTACACTGTTGTGTGGGGGTCTTATACTGCTGCTACACTGTTGTGTGTGTGTGGGTCTTATACTGCTGCTACGCTGTTGTGTGTGTTGGTCTTATACTGCTGCTACACTGTGTGTGTGGGTCTTATACTGCTGCTACACTGTTGTGTGTGGGTCTTATACTGCTGCTACACTGTTGTGTGTGTGTGGGTCTTATACTGCTGCTACACTGTTGTGTGTGGGTCTTATACTGCTGCTACACTGTTGTGTGTGGGTCTTATACTGCTGCTACACTGTTGTGTGTGTGTCTTATACTGCTGCTACACTGTTGTGTTTGGGTCTTATACTGCTGCTACACTGTGTGTGGGTCTTATACTGCTGCTACACTGTTGTATGTGTGTGTGGGTTTTATACTGCTGCTACACTGTTGTGTGTGTGTGGGTCTTATACTGCTGCTACACTGTTGTGTGTGTGTCTTATACTGCTGCTACACTGTTGTGTGTGTGGGTCTTATACTGCTGCTACACTGTTGTGTGTGTGGGTCTTATACTGCTGCTACACTGTTGTGTGTGTGTCTTAAACTGCACCTACACTGTTGTGTGGGGTCTTATACTGCTGCTACACTGTTGTGTGTGGGTCTTATACTGCTGCTACACTGTTGTGTGTGGGTCTTATACTGCTGCTACACTGTTGTGTGTGAGTGTGTCTTATACTGCTGCTACACTGTTGTGTGTGGGGGTCTTATACTGCTGCTACACTGTTGTGTGTGTGGGTCTTATACTGCTGCTACACTGTTGTGTGTGGGTCTTATACTGCTGCTACACTGTTGTGTGTGGGTCTTATACTGCTGCTACACTGTTGTGTGTGTGTGGGTCTTATACTGCTGCTACACTGTTGTGTGTGGGTCTTATACTGCTGCTACACTGTTGTGTGTGGGTCTTATACTGCTGCTACACTGTTGTGTGTGGGTCTTATACTGCTGCTACACTGTTGTGTGTGGGTCTTATACTGCTGCTACACTGTTGTGTGTGGGGGTCTTATACTGCTGCTACACTGTTGTGTGGGTCTTATACTGCTGCTACACTGTTGTGTGTGTGGGTCTTATACTGCTGCTACACTGTTGTGTGTGTGTGTGTCTTATACAGCTGCTACACTGTTGTGTGTGTGTGGGTCTTATACTGCTGCTACACTGTTGTGTGTGGGGGTCTTATACTGCTGCTACACTGTTGTGTGTGGGTTTTATACTGCTGCTACACTGTTGTGTGTATGTGTGGGTCTTATACTGCTGCTACACTTGTGTGTGGGTCTTATACTGCTGCTACACTTGTGTGTGTGTGTCTTATACTGCTGCTACTCTGTTGTGTGTGTGGGTCTTATACTGCTGCTACACTGTTGTGTGTGTGTGTGGGGGTCTTATACTGCTGCTACACTGTTGTGTGTGTGTGTGTCTTATACTGCTGCTACACTGTTGTGTGTCTTATACTGCTGCTACACTGTTGTGTGTGTGTGTGGGGGTCTTATACTGCTGCTACACTGTTGTGTGTGTGTGTGGGTCTTATACTGCTGCTACACTGTTGTGTGGGGGTCTTATACTGCTGCTACACTGTTGTGTGTGTGGGTCTTATACTGCTGCTACACTGTTGTGTGTGGGTCTTATACTGCTGCTACACTTGTGTGTGTGTGTGGGTCTTATACTGCTGCTACACTGTTGTGTGTGTGGGTCTTATACTGCTGCTACACTGTTGTGTGTGTGGGTCTTATACTGCTGCTACACTGTTGTGTGTGGGTCTTATACTGCTGCTACACTGTTGTCTGTGGGTCTTATACTGCTGCTACACTGTTGTGTGTGTGTGTGTGGGTCTGATACTGCTGCTACACTGTTGTGTGTGGGTCTTATACTGCTGGTACACTGTTGTGTGGGGGTCTTATGCTGCTGCCACACTGTTGTGTGGGGATCTTATACTGTTGCTACACTGTTGTGTGTGGGTCTTATACTGCTGCTACACTGTTGTCTGTGGGTCTTATACTGCTGCTACACTGTTGTGTGGGGGTCTTATACTGCTGCTACACTGTTGTGTGGGGGTCTTATACTGCTTCTACACTGTTGTGTGGGTCTTATACTGCTGCTACACTGTTGTCTGTGGGTCTTATACTGCTGCTACACTGTTGTGTGGGGGTCTTATACTGCTGCTACACTATTGTGTGGGGGTCTTATACTGCTGCTACACTGTTGTGTGGGGGTCTTATACTGCTTCTACACTGTTGTGTGGGTCTTATACTGCTGCTACACTGTGTGTGTGTGGGTCTTATACTGCTGCTACACTGTTGTGTGTGGGGAGGTCTTATACTGCTGCTACACTGTTGTGTGTGGGTCTTATACTGCTGCTACACTGTTGTGTGTGTGGGTCTTATACTGCTGCTACACTGTTGTGTGTGTGTGTGGGTCTTATACTGCTGCTGCACTGTTGTGTGGGGGTCCTATACTGCTGCTACACTGTTGTGTGTGGGGGTCTTATACTGCTGCTACACTGTTGTGTGTGGGGGTCTTATACTGCTGCTACACTGTTGTGTGTGGGTCTTATACTGCTGCTACACTGTTGTGTGTGTGTGGGTCTTATACTGCTGCTACACTGTTGTGTGTGGGTCTTATACTGCTGCTACACTGTTGTGTGTGGGTCTTATACTGCTGCTACACTGTTGTGTGTGGGTCTTATACTGCTGCTACACTGTTGTGTGTGGGTCTTATACTGCTGCTACACTGTAGCAGTGTAGCTTATACTGCGGCTACACTGTTGTGTGTGTGTGGGTCTTATACTGCTGCTACACTGTTGTGTGTGTGTGTGGGTCTTATACTGCTGCTACACTGTTGTGTGGGTCTTATACTGCTGCTACACTGTTGTGTGTGGGTCTTATACTGCTGCTACACTGTTGTGTGTGGGTCTTATACTGCTGCTACACTGTTGTGTGTGGGTCTTATACTGCTGCTACACTGTTGTGTGTGGGTCTTATACTGCTGCTACACTGTTGTGTGTGTGGGTCTTATACTGCTGCTACACTGTTGTGTGTGTGTGGGTCTTATACTGCTGCTACACTGTTGTGTGTGTGTGGGTCTTATACTGCTGCTACACTGTTGTGTGTGGGTCTTATACTGCTGCTACACTGTTTTGTGTGTGGGTCTTATACTGCTGCTACACTGTTTTGTGTGTGTGTGGGTCTTATACTGCTGCTACACTGTTGTGTGTGAGTGTGTCTTATACTGCTGCTACACTGTTGTGTGTGGGGGTCTTATACTGCTGCTACACTGTTGTGTGTGTGGGTCTTATACTGCTGCTACACTGTTGTGTGTGGGTCTTATACTGCTGCTACACTGTTGTGTGTGGGTCTTATACTGCTGCTACACTGTTGTGTGTGTGTCTTATACTGCTGCTACACTGTTGTGTGTGGGTCTTATACTGCTGCTACACTGTTGTGTGTGGGTCTTATACTGCTGCTACACTGTTGTGTGTGGGGGTCTTATACTGCTGCTACACTGTTTTGTGTGTGTGGGTCTTATACTGCTGCTACACTGTTGTGTGTGGGTCTTATACTGCTGCTACACTGTTGTGTGTGGGTCTTATACTGCTGCTACACTGTTGTGTGTGGGTCTTATACTGCTGCTACACTGTTGTGTGTGTGTCTTATACTGCTGCTACACTGTTGTGGGTCTTATACTGCTGCTACACTGTTGTGTGTGGGTCTTATACTGCTGCTACACTGTTGTGTGTGGGTCTTATACTGCTGCTACACTGATTGCTCATCTTATCCTGCTGGTGCTGAATGAAGAGAAAGATTGTTAGTGTGTTGAAGTCAAGGTATATGGGTGTTGAAGTCAAGGAATATGAGTGTTGAAGTCAAGGAATATGAGTGTTGAAGTCAAGGAATATGAGTGTTGAAGTCAAGGAATATGGGTGTTGAAGTCAAGGTATATGGTTGTTGAAGTCAAGGTATATAAGTGTTGAAGTCAAGGTATATGAGTGATGAAGTCAAGGAATATGGGTGTTGAAGTCATGGTATGAGTGTTGAAATCGAGGTATATGGGTGTAGAAGTCAAGGTATATGTGTGTTGAAGTCAAGGTATATGAGTGTTGAAGTCAAGGTATATGGGTGTTGAAGTCAAGTATGAGTGTTGAAGTCAAGGTATATGGGTGTTGAAGTCAAGTATGAGTGTTGAAGTCAAGGTATATGAGTGTTGAAGTCAAGGTATATGGGTGTTGAAGTCAAGTATGAGTGTTGAAGTCAAGGTATATGAGTGTTGAAGTCAAGGTACATGAGTGTTGAAGTCAAGGTATATCGGTGTTAAAGTCAAGGAATATGAGTGTTGAAGTCAAGGTATATGGGTGTTGAAGTCAAGGTATGAGTGTTGAAGTCAAGGTATATGAGTGTTGAAGTCAAGGTATATCGGTGTTGAAGTCAAGTATGAGTGTTGAAGTCAAGGTATATGAGTGTGTAAGTCAAGGTACATGAGTGTTGAAGTCAAGGTATATGGGTGTTGAAGTCAAGGTATATGGGTGTTGAAGTCAATGTATATGGGTGTTGAAGTTCAGGTATATGGGTGTTGAAGTCAAGGTATATGAGTGTTGAAGTCAAGGTATATCGGTGTTGAAGTCAAGTATGAGTGTTGAAGTCAAGGTATATGAGTGTGTAAGTCAAGGTACATGAGTGTTGAAGTCAAGGTATATGGGTGTTGAAGTCAAGGTATATCGGTGTTGAAGTCAAGGTACATGAGTGTTGAAGTCAAGGTATATCGGTGTTGAAGTCAAGGAATATGAGTGTTGAAGTCAAGGTATATGGATGTTGAAGTCAAGGTATATGGGTGTTGAAGTCAAGGTATGAGTGTTGAAGTCAAGGTATATGAGTGTTGAAGTCAAGGTATATGAGTGTTGAAGTCAAGGTATATGAGTGTTGAAGTTCAGGTATACGGGTGTTGAAGTCAAACTACAGGTATAAAATATATGTATAAATTTATTGAAGACATGATAGCTACAAAACAGATTGTTAACCAGTTACACAATTGTTTAACCATCTGTACAAGGCTGTAACATTTCTTAAGCCTCCGCCCAGTGTGTGCGGAAGACAACTACACATAAAATAATAACTTATAGAACAGACAAGCACTGATGAAGACAACACAGGTCCTAAAAAAAAAAAAAAAATATATCATACACAATCCTAATTCAAGCGAAATAATATCAGACTCAAATCTGACTCATTATATATATTTGTAAAAAATACAATCCAAATCGTTCGAGCAGATCAAAAAGGCAACAGAATTGGTCTGAAAATAATGGCTTTCATTAATGATGTTTTTTTTTTAATATAATCTTCTGCACATGCAGATCTTATGGCAAACTTTGGATTTTTTGGCAGCAAAAAATAACATTAACAGTAAAGTCCATGTTCACATTGTTCCGCTACCAGGACGCTGTTCAGCAGCCACTATACATGACTGGATTCATCATAAAATTCATTACAGTATTTAAAATACTTATATCCTACAGGATCATCACTTTGTTTCATTTACACTAATCATCCCTACAATGTCAATAATCACTGGAGGATGTCAACAGAAATTCACAACTCAGCGAGTCTATGAAAAAATGACGACGGTCACACACACCTCAGTGGGCCCAGGCGTACACAAGGGTGAAACTGAGCATTAATGTAGGTTGTGTGCGCTTGTGCGGCACTTGACCATCTTCAACATGTCCAATGGTCCTAAGGTGTGTTGACTTCTCGCTGGGGGGAAGTTAGGGGATGGAGGAAGGTAATGGGGGTTCAGTGATCAACTACTTCACATGCAGTGCTCACATTATAGGGAGTGGACCCAACTTCGTCAGATCCGATGAATTCTTGACATAATTACAATTATAAATTTTTGGGATGAGTAGGAGTGAGTATTCCACAAGAGGAACTCGGGACCTTTGTGAAGTCGACGATGCATAAAGTACATATCACAATTTAAATAAATAGTTGCATTCAGAAGTTAACAACAGGAAAGGCCACAGGTTATCACAATAAAAGGTTCTAGAATTTGGACGGGCATTCATTAATTTAAAAAGTTCATATAAAGTTCTCTGATGTGTCCAAATAAGTTGTAGTGTTTGAAAACAGTTAATATAAATGTCCAGGGAGACATGTTTCCATCTATTGACTTTTAAAGCGTCCAACAGCAGGAGTGATAACAATGGTGACTACAACCCATCACTCCCCAACCCTTGTTAGTGGTTGCACGAGTAAGCGAGCATCGAGGCTAGCATCTTCCAGACCAAGAGTTGGGGTGGCAACAAACTAACAGGGATTAGTATTATTGACGGCAACATGTCAGAGAGACGAGAGACGTGGCATATGTACAACCGTGTAGTGGGGTTGGGGGAAGGGGAGGATTGTGACAGGACCAGGAGTGGTGCACCCAAGATCCTGTCAAAGCTTCTTGTAACGCCGAGTGTTGGTGCCCGCGTCCACGCAGATTCCAGCGAGAGGAAAAATTGCATCTGCTTATGCCTGCCTCACAACTGCTGTTGCTGCTATTAGCAAGCCATGCTCCTGGCGAGCATATGGCAGGCCAGCAGCCATATGACCAGCTGCTCTGCTGTCGCTGCCACGAGTGAGCTGCTCCAGGCATTCGATTCTCGTAGAGATACATACGGCCTGGCCGGCGGCGAGGGCACGAGGCCCTCCACTGAGATTGCCCTCCTGGCATCATGCCGCACTCAGCACCAGTCAGCCATATAGTTAAAATCCTTGAAGAGTGTCTGGTCTGACTCGTTCAGATGGCGAGGGTCTTTTGGCGGCGTTAGGGCAGGTTTTTCCAGCGTGAATTCTTCGTCAAAATTACTAACGTCCTCGGGGGATGTCTGCAATGAATAAAAATATAGGAATAAGTACAGTACTTTAAAAATTATCTTTCTCTGCTTTATAAAGTTGAATCTTGGTCTAATGACAATTTAAAAACATTATTTTTTGCATTTGCAGTAGTATAACAATTGTCAGCATACTAGAACAAGAACATTATGGAGTGTTTTTTGCGTTCAAGAAAAATATCTAGTACTGTAACAAATATATAAGCAAAAAAAAATATAAAAAATAAGAAAATGCAGTATTGTGGGAAGACCTACCACGGTGGGCACAAATGGAGGCTTGACCTTGCGCTGTAAGAGGTCGTCCCAGCCGACGCTACGGAAAAACTGCTGCTTCTTGACATCTTCGGCGTCCTTCTCGCTGGCGCCCAAACGTCTGTCTGGGTGCTTCCGGAGAAGTTTGCGCATAATGGCCACAGCCTCAATGGAGAGAAACCGTGGGTACCTCACCTCGTCGTTAACAATACTGTCAAACACCTCCTCTTCGTCATCACCAGGGAAGGGTGACTGTAGAAATAAAAAATTACATTTTATTAGAGCCCAAGAGTAAAGGCGACTGCAGAAGACCTATTGGCCCGTGCAAGGCAGCTCGTATAACCTAATGTCGGTGACAAGTATATAAAAAATTGCTTATTTTACTCTCGTATGATTAAAACTGTATGTTTACAAGTTATGAAAAAAATGGGCAACTCACCTCTCCAACAAGCATCTCAAATATCAAGACGCCAAGGCCCCACCAGTCGACAGCTCTGGTGTAGGAGGTTTCCGTGAGGACCTCGGGGGCCAAAAACTCCGGCGTGCCGCAGAAGGTGCCAGTTCGATCTCCGTAACCCATGCCTTCTTTGCACAACCCGAAGTCTGCAATCTTGACATAGCCTTCCGTGTCGAGCAGCAAGTTGTCGAGCTTGAGATCGCGGTAAATGATCTTGTTATCGTGGAGATACTGGAGGCCGAGCACGACACACGCCGCGTAGAAAACGGCGCGAGGCTCGTCGAACACGTCGGCGTGTATGTGCATCATGAGGTCGCCGCCCGCCGCGTATTCCATCACGAAACACACATGGCTCTGAAACAAACAAACCAGACATAAGTATGACCATTTTTAATAAAGTTTACCGTTATATTCATGCTGATATCTTCCCGTCTGGGATGACACTTAAATACTGTTATCTGTGTGGACTTTCAACTCTCCACATGGTAATTTCAGCCCCCCTACTTCTCCACTTCCGCCTCTCCCAAACTACAAAAATAAATAAGGCTCATATGCACAACTAAATTATTAATATGGAATATTATGCAACTTTTAGGCATTAGAGCATCCATTTCTTCAAGAATCAAGTGCACTATTTAACCCAAACTAATTCTAATTAACATTCATATCCTGTACACTAACCTCGGTTTGATAACAAGCGAAGAGGTTGACGAGGAAAGGATGTCTGACTGAGTTGGCCACTTCGAAGATTCGTTTTTCTGCCAAGAGAGACTCGACTTCGTCCCGGGCAATGATGTCCCCCTTTTTAAGGGCTTTGATAGCGAAGTACTCTCCCGTGTTCTTGTACTGACCCAATATGACCTTGCCAAAGTGGCCTCGCCCCAGCACTGAGATGAGGCGGAACTGTTCCATTCCCATGGAGCCATACTGGGAATTCCGGTAGGTGTCATAGGCAGAGTCGCGGTCACGGTCGAACCGTGACAGAGGCAGCTTCCGTGTCCTAACCTCTTCCACCTCCCGGCCTCCAACCTGTAAGGACAAAACATCACCATTACTCTAGTGCTCACAGCTACCTACTAAGTTACACATTTCTCAAACAAAAACTATATTTCACAGACGGCAAAAGCAAAGCAACCAAGTGAGAATTAAGGCAATAAATTTGTGTTAACTGTTTTAGAGAAATATCTTACTATGACAAACTCATGCAACTCACACAAGTGAGTAACCCACTACAAGCGAAAGTCATGTCAAACCATGCCAGAGAACGGAGGTGAGTATATATATATAGCATTATCGTGGGGCCAGATTTACGAAAGCACTTACGAACGTGTACATCTTTCCTCAATCTTTGACGGCTTTAGTTACATTTATTAAACAGTTTACAAGCAGGAAAACTTGCCAATCAATTGTTGTTATTGTTATAAACAGCCTCCTGGTGCTTCGGAGTTCATTAACTGTTTAATAATTGTAAACAAAGCCGCCAAAGATTGAGAAAAAGATGTACAGGTTTGTAAGTGCTTGCGTAACTGCTTTCGTGAATCTGGCCCCAGGTTTGCATGGGCTAAGACTGCCAGTTGACATGAGGCATCAAGACTTGCCATTCTTAGTGTGTGTAGTGATACACACACATTGTTAGTGTTAAGTTAGACATCATTGTTAGTTAGTGAACGCACACGCACCACTGATTTAATTATGTGATGCACTATATATGGAGTTAGTGTGAGTGCTCTTTAGAGAGTTGGTAGTGTGGATGGTCTTTATTGGGAGTTAGAGGTGTTAGTGGTCTTTAAATGGAGCTGTTTATGTATAGAGTTAAGGATTTGTGAATGATCCATTTGTGCCGGGGTGAGCCAGATGGCTACTGAGGCGAGCCTAGCAGTTAAGAGTGGGCCTTGTTAGGGCCGTGGTAGTTGTGGTAGTTAGGGGCGTAGTAGTTAGGGGCGTGGTAGTTAGGGACGTGGTAGTTAGAGACGTGGTAGTTAGGGACGTGGTAGTTAGGGACGTGATAGTTAGAGATGTGGTAGTTAGGACCGTGATAGTTAGGGCCGTGGTAGTTAGGGCCGTGATAGTTAGGGACGTGATAGTTAGGGCCGTGATTGGTAGTTAGGACCGTAGTAGGTATAGTAGAGCATGTGGTGGTAGTGTACCTGTTCATCTGGCAGGCGGACATGGTATGAGGGCGGAGATACGGACCGAGGAGGTCCTCCTATACAGGGCTGGTGAGGACTGCCCTCGGCCTCCACCTCCTCCTCCACCCCATCATCATCAAGTTCTACCTCTTCGATACTGACCTGCCCCTCGAGGGGGGCCGCGGGGCTGCCCACGCCGCGCTCAAGCACCTCCCTCTCGTGCAGGAAGTTGAACTCGTTCAACGCATTCTGAACACAAACAAAAAACAGAGTCAGAACATAGCTATCAAAAATACATTACTTGGTCCTACAAATCTAATACAACACACTATGACTGCAGCTAAAATAGATCATAAACAGAAAAAAAATACATTACTTGGTCCTACAAATCTAATACAATACATTATGACTACAGCAAAAATAGATCATAAATACATGGATATAATTATATATTACAGACATTAGCCTGCCGATTATGTACTGAGTGTGCACTAGAAAATGTTGATATCGAGTGATCTACATAGCGAGATTGATAACTGCCCCCCCCCCCACACACACACACGAGACAAGGCTGTCTCTATCACCCCTCTTCGGTTCCCTGTCACACCGAAGCCTCCTGACACCCGTATTTACCTGAAGCAGGTTCTGCCAGGTCTCCGGCTTGAGGACAGCCTTCATGAGATGAACCAGCGCCCTTAGGTTCATGTTAAGTGTCGAAACGCCTTTAATATCCAACACGGCTTTGATGAGAGAGAGAACACTGTCCCTCTCCGAAGCCTCTCTCTCCGAAGCTTCCAGCTGGGGTCTCACTCTCACCCGCTTCGCCACCATTGTCGACGGCTTCACTATCTTCACTACAACCTTCACTGTATCCACTGAGCACCAAGCGAGCGTGTGTCTGTCTTTGCCACTGTCAGCAGTGCTACTGATTGTGGCTCATCAACACCAGGGGGTTTATATGGTTCACTCCGGCCTGCTATCATCTCGCTGATAACTGCTAGCCATGATGATGCCCCCCCCCTGGCACCCCCCCCCTCACTAAACTCTAAAGGAGCCTCTTCAATACCAGACATAATTACTCCACTATCATTCATAATTGGTCTTAGCCAATTTAACCTTAACAGTAGTCACGTAGTCTACCCCAACTGAGACAACCATTACGACTAGTAGTTTAATATTAAAATTATCCTCAATACTTCCTTTCCCCTCCCATCAACCCCCTCCCCCCCATCTCCGGAATCATCACTAGCGATGATACGTGATAACTACGCCCCTGAAAGTTATTCTGGGGACAATTTAACACCTAACTCCATCTCTCCCTAGAGTAATTACAATGTTTAAAAATCTCATCTATAAACATCTCGATAGTGACCGTATTTTACGGAATAAAGGCTTATATCTTGCGGTGTAAAATAGATGGTGGTGTAGGGAAGATTTCAATGGTGAGGCGTAACTGGGTCTGGGTGGAACAGGATGAACAAGCCAGCGGTGTTCTTCCTACTGGAGTGAGTTCTACATGCTGCTATGGCGTGGCCCGAGACTGTTCAACACGCTTCCACTACACATAAGGGACATAACTGGCCGACCCCTCACAGTGTTCAAGAGAGAACTATCAACATCAGAGGCCCGAGACTGTTCAACACGCTTCCACTACACATAAGGGACATAACTAGCCGACCCCTCACAGTGTTCAAGAGAACTATCAACATCAGAGGCCCGAGACTGTTCAACACGCTTCCACTACACATAAGGGACATAACTGGCCGACCCCTCACAGTGTTCAAGAGAGAACTATCAACATCAGAGGCCCGAGACTGTTCAACACGCTTCCACTACACATAAGGGACATAACTGGCCGACCCCTCACAGTGTTCAAGAGAGAACTATCAACATCAGAGGCCCGAGACTGTTCAACACGCTTCCACTACACATAAGGGACATAACTGGCCGACCCCTCACAGTGTTCAAGAGAGAACTGATAAACACCTCCAAAGGATACCTGATCAACCAGGCTGTGATCCATACATCAGGCGCATCCAACAGCCTAGTTGACCAGACCAACCAACCAGGAAGCCTGGTCAGAGACCGGGCCGCGGGGGGACATTAAGCCCCAAAATCACCTCAAGGTATAGCGGCATGTACACTCACAGGACGAGTACTACCTTACCTTGAGGTGCTTCCGGGGCTTAGTGTCCCCGCGGCCCGGTCGTCGACCAGGCCTCCTGGTTGCTGGACTGATCAACCAGGCTGTTAGACGCGGCTGCTCGCAGCCTGACGTATGAGTCACAGCCTGGTTGATCAGGTAGAATACCTGAATACAGTGGTAGAATACCACTGTATTCTAACCACTCCAGAGAGGAGCAGTGTATGGGAGAAGGTTACTATGGGAGTTCTGGGTGTACCAGAGTGATCTGGAGGCCCTCACAGCCTCCCTGGTAACACCACCACCACCATGGGAGCCCGGCCCCCACCACCTCTCCCACACATACATCCTGGACCTTGCTCCCACCACCACAACCCAGGCCCGCTGATTACACACACGTCATAGGCCGCTATATTTATGTCTTGGGAGAGTGGGGGAGTGGGGAGAGTGGGGGGCAGGGAGTGGGGGAGGGAGGGAGTGGGGGAGGGAGGGAGTGGGGGAGGGAGGGAGTGGGGGAGGGGGAGTGGGGGAGGGGGGGGAGGGAGGGAGGGAGGGAGGGAGGGAGACAGAGAGAGAGAGAGAGAGAGAGAGAGAGAGAGAGAGAGAGAGAGAGAGAGAGAGAGAGAGAGAGAGAGAGAGAGAGAGAGAGAGAGAGAGAGAGAGAGAGAGAGAGAGAGAGAGAGAGAGAGAGAGAGAGAGAGAGAGAGAGAGAGACAGAGAGAGAGAGAGAGAGAGAGAGAGAGAGAGAGAGAGAGAGAGAGAGAGAGAGAGAGAGAGAGAGAGAGAGAGAGAGAGAGAGAGAGAGAGAGAGAGAGAGAGAGAGAGAGAGAGAGAGAGAGAGAGAGAGAGAGAGAGAGAGAGAGAGAGAGAGAGAGAGAGAGAGAGAGAGAGAGAGAGAGAGAGAGAGAGAGAGAGAGAGAGAGAGAGAGAGAGAGAGAGAGAGAGAGAGAGAGAGAGAGAGAGAGAGAGAGAGAGAGAGAGAGAGAGAGAGAGAGAGACAGAGAGAGAGACAGAGAGCAGGAGTCGGAACATTAGACAAACGACGGTTAGAAAGGCGGGACCCAAGAGCTATAGCTCTCTTCTCCAAGCACAAACAGGCGAATATAAACAAGTGAACGCACACACGTACACACGTTTCCGCAATATTAGATAAAATGACACAGCCTTATCAACCCTTGACGGCAGGTAACGCATGACGGCAGGTAACGCATGACGGCAGGTAACGCATGACGGCAGGTAACGCATGACGGCAGGTAACGCATGACAGCAGGTAACGCATGACGCCAGGCAACGCATGACAGCAGGTAACGCATGACGGCAGGTAACGCATGACGGCAGGTAACGCATGACGGCAGGTAACGCATGACGGCAGGTAACGCATGACGGCAGGTAACGCATGACGGCAGGTAACGCATGACGGCAGGTAACGCATGACGGCAGGTAACGCATGACGGCAGGTAACGCATGACGGCAGGCAACGCATGACGGCAGGTAACGCACGACGGCAGGTAACGCATGACGGCAGGTAACGCATGACGGCAGGCAACGCATGACAGCAGGCAACGCATGACGGCAGGTAACGCATGACGGCAGGTAACGCATGACGGCAGGTAACGCATGACGGCAGGCAACGCATGACGGCAGGCAACGCATGACAGCAGGCAACGCATGACAGCAAACAACGCATGACAGCAAACAACGCATGACAGCAGGCAACGCATGACAGCAAACAACGCATGACGGCAGGCAACGCATGACGGCAGGCAACGCATGACAGCAGGCAACGCATGACAGCAAACAACGCATGACGGCAAACAACGCATGACGGCAAACAACGCATGACAGCAAACAACGCATGACAGCAAACAACGCATGGCAGCAAACAACGCATGACAGCAGGCAACGCATGACGGCAAACAACGCATGACAGCAAACAACGCATGACAGCAAACAACGCATGACGGCAAACAACGCATGACAGCAAACAACGCATGACAGCAAACAACGCATGACGGCAAACAACGCATGACAGCAAACAACGCATGACAGCAAACAACGCATGACAGCAAACAACGCATGACAGCAAACAACGCATGACAGCAAACAACGCATGACAGCAGGCAACGCATGACAGCAAACAACGCATGACAGCAAACAACGCATGACAGCAAACAACGCATGACAGCAGGCAACGCATGACAGCAAACAACGCATGACGGCAAGCAACGCATGACGGCAGGCAACGCATGACGGCAAGCAACGCATGACAGCAAACAACGCATGACGGCAAACAACGCATGACGTCATATTGACCACTGACAATGGTCAATAGAGTTGTTTTAGATTAAGCTACTCAGAACGAAATGTCAATGTAGCACGGTCTATGGCGAGCCCGTAAGGTCAACAGAGCATTTGGTTACTATATCTACGTCACTGGTGACATGAGGGGGGGGGATGAGGCAAGTATGAGGGAAAAGCACCAAGCCACCATGACTATATAGCACTGGGAAGGGGTCAGGGTAAGGGATGGGACGGAGGGAAGGAATGGTGCCCCAACCACTTGTATGAACGGTCGGGGATTGAACGCAGACCCGCATGACGCTCTACCGTCCAGCCCAAGTGGTTGTACCGACGTCATACACACGGCATCTTGCCTACCTGACGGCCGGCCCGCACAATATCAACGAGACCTCACCATACTCGTCAGATATCGTCATTAATCACCCTTTATCGCGTAATTGGCCATTTAGTGAGGCAATGTTTTACAAGCGGAAGATAGCCAGGGGCGCCATGTGATCAAGGCGTGAGAAGGAGGCATGCACGCATGCACGCACGCACGCACGTGAAGGCGGTAACACACACTAACCTAATAATGAGTGTTTTATACCTCAACTTATGAGCAAATGAAATGAGCGTTTGAGATGCCTCTCGGACGCAGGTTCGAATCCTCGTCACGGCCCTTGTGGATTTGTTCATTTGATGCATCACGCTATTGTGATTTCAGTGTGTAGTGTTATTTCAATGAGGTTTGACACCTTTGTACTGGCCTCAGGCCGGGCATTTGGAGTAGAACAACTCTCAGAACCCTCTCCAGGTATGTTCCAGG